AAGCAACACATTAAAAAACTTGCTTATTTTTCCGCAAAAAAAAGTGAACACACTCTTTATAATAATAAAGGTCTCAATATTTTTTACTTACTAGTGTCATATCCTTGATTTTCTTTTCTTTTTCTTACTTGAGGATAACTTTTTAAAGGAAAAATTAAATGTTATTGAAAGTACACATTTATATAATGTATATTTACCTGTATAGAGTATAATTTCAGAATATATTGATTATTATACTAGAATATTTATGTATTGTTTTTGTTCTGCATATGAATAAACCATGTAATATGAATTTATATAAAAAATTTTAATTGCAGGTAAGAGCTGAAGTTACAAAAGCACCATTTGCAGTCCGCCACAAACAATTTCAGGTTAAGGCTGGTCACTACGTCAGTGTACCTGTTTATTTCAGACCACAAACACTGGGTTTCTTCACAGGACAGCTGAACCTGAATGTTATTGAGGAGCAAGTGTTACACACTGTTCAGCTTTCAGGCAAAGCAGTGTGATTTTGCTCTTTTTATAAAAAATTTCAGTTAAGAATTCCAAGTCAGAAGCATCCATTAATTTTGGAATTTTACTTTTATAATCTGTTTCTGGGCAAAGGTCCCATGCTTGCTAGTAAAACCTGCACAGGTATGTTACAGAGCCTTTTCAGTTACTTATTGATACTGTGATAATAAAATAGATACTGATAAGGATATTTAAAGCAAGGCTGTGGATATTGGTAGCTGTAGTGTTAAGGCAAGGATCATGTATCTTTTGTATTGTGTATATCCTTTTTTTGCCACTATTATTGCAACATAATAATGCCACTATAATTTTATGCTTTCTGGTTTATTATTCTTTAATATTTTCATTGTTGATAGATAAAATATAAGGATTGTCATAAAAAAAATCAGATATATTATTACACTTCAGTTTATATGTGCCATTTTGTAATTTTTACCATGATTAACATATTCAATAAACATTATATCCATTTTTATTTTTCCTCTGCCTTGCTGAAAAGATGAAAATTGATTGAGAGGCACAGAGAGAATTGGTCATAAATTTTTCTGGTGGATAGTAATACTTTTTTCTCAAACTTTATCATCACAATAAAAAGACTTGACCTCATGGAAAGTCAGTAAGTAAATCTATAAATCAAACGTGTCCGGGATGGCTGTGCAAGAGCTTAGACATTGTGACCTCACCTGATTTTATCTCCTTGAGTTTGTGGGAAAACCCTTTTATTTTTTTATTAATGCCTTTAATATTGATGCTGTTATTCTTACTATAGACATTATAATTATTATAGTGTTATTGCCATTACTAACAGCATTATAAGATATCAGAAAATATTTTCAGAAATCAAGGAAAATGGTAAACAAGTGAGACAGGTAGTACTCGTAATTGGCTCATTGGTGACTTATTACTTGTGGAGTCATCTATATGTAAGAACAATTAATAAATTAAACTCTCAGTGGGCATGGCATGTATGTACATGCCATCCCCCCAGTGGCTCCTTTCATTATTATTTTCATTACTTGTTAATGGGTATACTGTTTTTTATCTATATATAAAATTGTGCTAAAGGAAGTGACACGAGCAAGAGATGTTATATCATTTAGGTAAATAGATGCTAATTTCCTGAGATTTCTTCAGTATGAGATATCTCTGTAGTTTGTTTCACTGGGGAAGATATGCTCAAATGGTTCCTGAGTTCCTGAGCACCATCCCATCTCTCCTTTAACAACAGAATGAAACTTAGCCAACTACAATATAAAACAATTTCTGTGAAATGCCCCAATTTTACCAAAGGCATAGCCAAACCTCCTGTCTGAGCCACTGTAAACTTGTTTCACAAGAGCTGACCCTCTGGCCACTGGATAGCCTGATTGAAGAGATTCAAATGTCAAAACCCTCTGAATAGAAGGAAGAAAATTTCATTTCCTGGTTCATATTTATCTGCCAGAACACCAGCCATACAATGAAGAGGTAAAATATCAAATGCTAGTAAAAATAGTCTCTCAGACACTACTAAACTTTAGAACACATTACAAAAGTGTATAGTTATAGAAAATAGGGAATAAAATAAAAATTGTGGATAGATGTAAAAGACAAATTTAATCTATGTATTTAAAATTTTATAATGAGAATGAGAAGGGGAAAGGGACTAGAGGAAATAATTTTATAATTCAGCCAAATGATATTTGAGCCAATTATATTGCTCTTATTCATTACAAATTATTATTTATAAGAAATATAAATGCTCTTTTCTGTCCTTTGAAAAAATAAATATAAAAGTTTGAAGATTTTACCTAACTTCTTAATCAATAAAGAAAATAATCTAAGACAACCATGTACTGACATCAGTATGAACTAGAATTTATCACAGTTAAATGGTCATGTAAAGATTTGGAATGTCTCATAAGTAATTGCTAGTATTATAGCAATATAGCATATCAGTCTATTTTATCCCCATGACACTGGATGCCATGGCTATTGTGGACAAAGTAGCAGGTGGCATTATATCACGACCTTTCCCAAGCCGTTGGATCATCAGATAGATCTTGTTTTTCTCTACTAGTAGCCGCATCATTTCTATGGTTAAACTTTAAGGCAATACTACCTAAAGTAAAGGGAACTCCACTTTTTAAGGTTATTTTAAACATCAAAATATAAGCTTTTAGGTACCTAACATTGCCCATAAACTACCAAACAAGTCAGGCAGTAACAAGGGAAACTGTTGATGTGTGCCAACAATCCTGATTTGATGTCCACTTGCCTATTTTTTTACCCAGGGTTATTGGGTTACCACTTTCAAAATCCAGTAACTTCACTCTTTAACTCTACATGAATTTAGAAAGAGGCACACTGGTGATATCAAATCTTGGCTGTTCAATGATTAAAGTAAATGTATTAAATTATCAACATTAAAGCATCTCTCTTGATTGGAGGTGTGCACTTCATTTTCACTGAAAGGATACAAGCTTAAAAAGTATTATCTCTTCAGCTAGAATAATTACACAACTAATTATAACTAGTCTGAAAGAGGCTATATTTTAGAAAGTTGTTGTAATATCTTAATATAATTCACCTGAATATAAGAGTATAAGTGTAATCATATAAGAATAATCAACCATAAATATAAAATTTTAATATATAAATATTAATATGTTGAGGCATATAAAAGATCATACCCATCAACACTTATTTGGATTTACTTATCATATTAACAGAGATGTTAACCTTACAATTTGCCCATAATTAATAAAATTTTAACTCTTTTAATTAGGATTTTTAAGAAAAAATGTTCATTTATTAAAATCCTGATATCTGATTGTCTTCACTACTATAAAAAGGCTCGCCAGTCTTGTACAACCAACCCAATTACTGGCAGCCTTGCCCACTACAATACTGTGTATATACCGAATGCATTGAGATTTGGATTGAGCGAGACTGCATTGCAAATTGTGATCACCTCACTGCACTGTACATGAATGTTCATTACCAAGTCTGTGCCAATTTTTTTCTTACTTATGCTGTTTTAGAGTGTGGATATGAGTAAAAAGTAAAGTAAAAAAAAAGTAAAAAAAAAAAAAAAAAAAAAAAGTTTGTGAATTTGCTGAGAAGAGAAAAGTAATCCAGATCTGATATTTTTTATGTTTTCTTGTTGAAAAGATAATATTTGTCAAAATATTGCCATATACAGTTCATTATGGGTAAGTACCACCAAATTACCGAAAATCTACAAATTTTTTGAAAAAATTACTGATGGGCTAGATTTCGGGTAAGCATCTCTGTAATAAGAATCCAATTTGTAAAACTTTAAAGCCATGTCTAAAGAGCAGGCATGGCCAAAGAGTGATGTCAAAGGCAGGCAAAATACTGGTTACACTAATTTAAGAGTGGAATGAGTTTAACTGGTAGTTTGCCTGCCTCTGACATCACTCTTCTGGCATGCCTGCCAATCTTGTCTTCCCACCTGGACATGCCTTAAGAAATCCTTTTTATAATACAAAATACTCATGATATAATATAATCCTTTATATACTTATTTGTGTGGAATATCAGACAAAGTATCCTTAATTATGTTGTGCAGTTCAAATTTCTTCCTTGAGCACAGGCCAGCATAGTCATCAGAATTAAGGTCAAAGGTCATCACCCCAGCCACACCTGAAGTCTTGACCCATTCAGCCTGTAGGATGGAAGTTATTACTGATTATAACTTATAAATAACCTATCAATCTATAAATATTCTAATATATAACAAAGTGTAAACAGTCTACAATTTGGGCTGACTTTATGACAATGATAAAGATAATGAATAACATCGTGCTTCTGAAAAAAAAAGTTATAATATGAAAGTTGGTGACCCCTGACAATCATCACTGAATACAGCCAGAAGGTTCATACCTCACCTTGGCTCTGATACTTGCAGGATTTTCATAAGAGACCCAATCTCTTCCTCTGACAGCATATGGCACTTTACTCTCATCATCAAAATAAGCTGTTGCTCCCTCTTTCACAAAGATGCATGCTTCTGTGTAAGTAAGAGATCCTCCCAACATTCCAGTCCCAACTGCTGGAGCTCCAACATTATGCCATGCACCGCTCAGCAGCCTGTCAACAGAAAGTTTTAACCCTTTTCACCTTTTGCAAAAGTATTAATGCTCAGAAAGCTCATTTTTTGTTGTACAATTACTTTATGTTCCTCTCAGTTAGACTATTATTAATTGTTCATTTCAGATGCTGTAACACCTTTTTCAATCTGACATAAAGAAAAATACTGGTATATCCTTGCACTCATTCAGTCTCAAAGAGCCTAACAGAAATTACTTCCTCACCTCCATGTGCGTCCATAAGTGGGTATACCAACCATCAACTTTTCTTTAGGCATTCCCTTTTGCAGCCAATACTGGGTTGCCCATTCAATATTCAGCGTGGAAAAGTATCCAATCTCATCATGCCGTTCTGCCAGGGGAGCGTTGTGACCAGTGAAGGGTAAGTATGACTGATACATGTGGTAGTCATAGCCCATAATGGACACAAAATCTACATATCTGTAAATGAACAGATGCAATTACATTTACATCATGAGGAGGAATAATATACAAATGTTTCTAAGAAATGCTGAATTACTGATATTGTTGACAGACTTAATTCATCGGCAGCAGATAAAAGTACAGTTCACAACAGTTTTTTTGTAAATTTTGTTGTACACAGAAGGCTCAGTAAATATTCAGCCAACAAGGAGTCTAGTGACACTGCCTGATTTCCCCATTCCTTGAGGGATTTATGTTTTTTTAATGCTATTAATATCACTAATGTTATTAGTATTACTATTAAATTACTAATAACAATAAAAGATTTAAGATTTTTTTTGTGTGTGAAAGTCAAGGGAAAGGGTAAACTTGCAAAATAGGTAGGACTACCAACAGTCTCTTTGGTGACTAAGCACATGTGAAGCCATCTGTGTAAATACAACAGATAAATTAAAATTACAATGGCCATGGCATTATGTCATGCCATCTATGACCAGTCCGTTAACAATTTCACTTTGTCTATTTTCAATTTAACAAGAATGTCTTCCAAAAGTTATGTATATTTGACTTAAAAAGTTTCCAAAACTGAAATTCTGTACATGTAATTTTTATTTATGCAATATTGTTATTATCACTATTAAAATCTTTAGCAATATTTACATTCCTATTACTATATCTATTCCTATTGCATTACTATTATTAATAAAGGTGAAACTGCAACTTCTACAGTAAGCATTACTACTGGAAAAAAAAAAAAAAAAAAACATCATAATAATAGTATACAGAAATTCTCATATTTAAGAGCAGGGTTCCACAATACCTTCAAGAAGATGTGAAAATTTTTGTTTATTACAATATTTCTTTACTTAGTTTCAAATTTGATTCTGTAACATGCTGCCATAAAAAAACAGGAAATATTAGTAAAGTAAGTATGTAAAGGAATACAACTATGAACATAAATACACATACCTTGAAAAAGTCTCCTTGCTTTTCACTACTCCATCTCCTTAAAGCCACAACATTGTTTTTATAACAATTATCATATATCACACTGCCTTATTATCATTATTATTATTACTATTATTACTATTATTATTATTATCATCATTATTGTTTTCATTATATTATTATCATTATTGTTACTCTCATCATAATCACAATCATTACTATTATAATGTTTTTTGTTCTTATTTTTATCTGTTGTTGTTTTGGTTGTTATTATTATCATTATTACTATTGTTATTATTACTTCTGTTATTATTATTATTATTATTTAATTATTATTATTATTATCATTATTACCATTATAATTATTATTACCATTATGATTAATATTGATATAATTATCATTGTCATTATTATTATTGTTGCTGTTATTGTTGTTGTTATTATTACAATCATCATAAATTATTATCATTATATTTATAAAATTGTTGTGTCTTAGTTATTCAATAACAAACAGAGCTATGAACCAATGGCAGCAATGAATATTACTATCACCAAAAATATATCTTCTTTGAGGCAAAATAATCCAATTTACTAATCTTATGCCCATTACTGGTACATAGAAAAAATGCATACACAAATCCCCATTACCTATGGTAGAGGATGAAGATCCATACTTTTAACATTACAGGTATGAGCTACTTATGAGATCAATCACACAATCGGAACATAAATTCAGGTTATATTGCATATCAAGAAACACCATTTCAGATTCCAAAAATTATCTCCTACTTCTACAACATTAATGTACCATCACGAACAATGTATTAAAATCAGAGAATCAAATCTTACTTTGCCAGTTGGTCAACCTCGTAGCAATGATCCACAATGGGTTTTGGAGTACCTACAGCTATGCTTAGGAGGAAAGAAGGATGTGCAGCCAACTGGAATGACAAAAAAGCACTACTCTCAAACTCTCATTAGTTTGCATGTGTGTGTTTGTATTAGTATGTGTATATATATTTTTTTTCTTTCTTTTTTATCATTTTGTAAAACAAGTTACTAAAAAAATAAAATATGTAACACAATGTCAACACAAATATACCTTGAGAGCATTATTTAGCTGAAGGACAAAGTATGTAAACCATTTCTTTTCCAAAACATTCTTCTTCCATGCTGGCCAGGCAGGGAACTCCCAGTCTAGGTCAATACCATCTAAATTATAATTTATCAAAAACTGCTGTGCATTGTAGGCAAAACTGTTGGAGGAAATTTAAAACAAAATCATTAATTTGCTGGAATATACAATAGATACCCAAATATGTAAACAATAGGAGAATTAGATCTCTCAAAGTATTTTTTTCCCAAATACTACAGCTTCAATAATACTGCTTTCCATTATTAATGTTCATGTTATTCCAAGTAAATATGAACTATGAATACTACTTACACAGCTACAGAGGTAGGATCTCTCACCAACTCTGAGAAGTCTCCTCCTAAACACAGCAAGACACGCAGACTGGGATTTACTTCTTTAAGTGCCACTACTTCAGCAAATACCTGAAATACAGTTGTAAATGCCCTTGCCATACCAACGTGACATATGCTCTGGCTCCTGGAAATATCTAAATTTTTTTCCCAACCACTAGCCATACCTTATTGCATGGTATTTACATTTGCATATTCTACTATACATGAAGCTTTAACATCCCTGCTTCACATTTACAAAGGATAAAATTGGCTATTATGTAAAACTTGTACTGAAAATGTTATAATTTTGGTATCCATTACCATTATTACTTTGTGTATGTGAGGAAAATGTAACAGAAGAATGTCTAATAATTCAATGAAGAATCTGTTACAGGACTACATTGATTGTAGGGTTGCTGCACACTCATACGTTGCTATTCTGGATTTTTTATCCCCCTCTTCATAATCTGACTTATCTTGAAATCGTGGTCAGCGTTCTATCATAAATGCTAATATTGGAAATACATGGACATGTCCTTTAAAAAGGATTTTCATTTATAAAATAATATAATAATTTAGGAAAATCAAAGTTGCAGCATTACTGGTTTGACTGGTTAACAGTGTTTACAGTTTCTTACCTTCAAATCATTTTCTTCAACAGGAACAATCTTATTATCATGTATCTCAGCTCCTATAATTATAATGTGTGTACACAAGTCTGGTGGTATATCCCTTGGGCTCAAGGTGGCAACAGTAGTGTTCACATGAGGTAGTGCATAGTAGCAAACTCTTTTTATATTGCTGTCAACCACAATATTTTCGGTCTGTGTGTTAGGCTCTGTACAGAAAATAGAAACTCATTAGCATGCTATCTTGAACGATGACAGCTTTTATGAACAAGAAATAAAATTTCTACCAATGGATTTTATGATGCTTATGAATATTTTGAATCCATTATAGATACACACTACATATTCTTTCTGTAACTTTAATGTTAGAAATGAACAGCTGACAACAAAGACTGTAATTGTTTATCTAAATACTAAAAAACATATATTTAATGTTATATAAATATATATAAAATAATATAATAATATAAAATATATAAATATATATATATATATATATATATATATATATAAAATATATATAAAAGAATCTGGCAAAATTGTCATTAGTATTTTGGACTTCACAATACAGCTTCAAAAAAATAAAAGTTTCAGAAGTGGGTACCTTATCTTTAAACTCTTAAAATACAAAATACAGTAATAATCCTAACCTGATCCTGAGATGAGCTTCTGGTGTCTTTTGAGTAGATCATCTATGTAAATACGGGCATGAGATTCACCAGCAGAACACTGCCAAAGCACATATGCTACACAGGTCCATAACACAACCACAACCACCACCATTGGTCCATGCCAATGGAAATTTGATCTCGTCCATGCAGTCTGTTGGTTGAAAATTATGTTAGTACTGCTAAAACTTCTTGATGTATTCTTAGAGTAAACGGTCCAAACAGAACTGAATAAAGTGATACCTTGGGCTCTGGACTATGAAGTTCAGGCAAAAAATAATAAGCCTCCTTCATGTCGCTTCTATCTACCAAGATAAAGAGTTTGGAAACTAGTTCCTTACTTGGCAAAAAATTACCAAGATTTGTTTGTCTAAGAATCTATGCCACTCCTTGTGCAAGCACAGAGTCGGACTTTGACAAGAGATTACCTAATAAACCTAACCTTTATTTACTGCAAATTACCTTATCCAATAATATTGTTGTTTAGATAGTATATCTATTTCCTTGTTTAATTATCTCTGTGCAGTCCTTCATTTTTATTCCTTTTGGATAAGTCTTTGTTTTCAAATACGAAAATGCTCAAGAAGAGATAAATGCAGTAACTTTACTCAAAGCAGGTAACTCAACATATAAGCCCTTTCTAAAGATGCTGATGTTACTGATAAGTTACTATATTAGCTGATGTCCACATGGCTTGGCATTTCATAGTTTAGAATTTGGTTCAAAACTTATAATATGGTCCAGATAATATCTATCAGTGATATCTCTACATTACTGCATGTATGTGCATAAAGAAAAAAGAAAGAAAAAAAAGGAAAAAAAAGAAAGAAAGAAAAAAAATATATATATATTATACACATACATATAACAATGTATATATATATATATAATATATATATATATATTATTAATATATTATACACATACATATAATAATGTGTATATATATAT